CAGGATTGGATTCACTAGAGTATAACTTTGTGATATATTGTAAAGATAATTTGATACGGCGAAGTTTTAAAGATGGCTCATCGGCCTCAACGTAGAGACTGTCAATGGGAGAGGTTCTGAAAGATCCAAGACAAAGTCTCAGACCTTGGTGATGAACAGAATCTAATAGTTTTAGGTTGCTTTTGCAGGCCCCACCATATACGATGGAGCCGTAATCAAGTTTCGATCGGACCAGTGATCTATATAAGTGAAGGAGGGTAGTTTGGTCCCTCCCCACTTTGAATTAGAAACAACTTTTAACAAGTCGAGTGCCTTCAGGCATTTGGCTTTAAGGTATTTAATATGTGAGTCAAAGATGAGACCAAGAAATTTAGCTTCCTTCACAACTTTGATGGGTGTGCCATTTAAGGATAGTTCGGGGTCTTTATGGGGTTTGTATTTCCTACAAAAATGTATACAATTGGTTTTTGATTTAGAAAATTCAAACCCGTTTTCCAGACACCATCTATTGAATTTTGTTGAGACAAAGTTGTAATTGTCTCTCAATAGTTCGCATATTTTTACCACGGCAAGAAATATTAAAATCATCCACGAAAAGGGATCCATCTATTGAATCACTTAAAACCTTCGAAAGACTATTTATTTTAATACTAAATAATGTGACCGACAAAATACTGCCTTGTGGGACACCCTGATCCTGATTGTAATGATCAGACAGGGTTGAACCCACTCGGACTTGAAATTTCCTGTCGGTTAAAAACTGGGATATAAAAAGAGGCAAACGACCTCGCAAACCAAAATCATGTAAATCCTTCAAAATGCCATGCTTCCAAGTAGTATCATATGCTTTTTCAAGATAAAAAAATATTGATACTGCATGTTGTTTAGTTATAATAGCATTTTTGACAAAGGATTCTAAGCGTACTAAATGATCAATAGTACTTCTATTCTTCCGAAAACCACACTGAATATTTGTAATGAGGTTATTGGTTTCAAGATACCAAATTAATCTGTTATTTACCATTCGTTCCATGGTTTTACAGACGCAGCTGGTTAAAGATATCGGTCTGTAATTGGAAGGATCAGTATGATCCCGGCCAGGTTTGGGTATAGGGACTACAATGGCATTACGCCATGAAGGTGGAAAGTTTCCAGACGTCCATATTTTGTCAAATATATCTAAAAGTGTGACCAGACATGGTTCAGGCAAGTGTTTCAGTAGCTGATAATGGATATTATCAGCACCCGCTGCAGTGTCATGAGCTTGCTCAAGAGCTGTGTAGAGCTCATGTAAAAACACTTCATATAGTCTTCACCATTATTTGATTCAAAATTAACTTTTGTCTTTTCCTGTTGTTTCTGATATGTCTGAAACTCAGGGACATAATTTGCTGATGAAGAATTTTGGGCAAGAGTTTCGCCAAGTTTATTTGCTATATTAGATTTGTCAGTAACTAAATTATCGACATCTTTAAGATGGTGAACAGCAGATTTTGAACCTTTGCCTTTAATTCTTTGAACCATGTTCCATACTCTGGACATTGGCGTACGTGAATTAATTTTGGAGACATAGTTCCTCCAAGATTGCCGTTTGTTTTGTTTGAAGGTACGACGTGCCTTCGCATTGAGTATTTTAAATTTATTTAAGTTATGGACAGTTGGTGATGGACAGTTCTCTGCCTGATTGCCTACAATCGGTAAAAGCAGTTTCTCTACATATGGAGTTGTAGAGGACTTTTATACACTCATCCGCTATTTCATTTAAAACGTCAGAAAAAACTTAATAGGGATCAGTTATATCACTGAAATATTCAGTTTGTAGTTTAGATGTGCACAAAGTTTGAAATAAGGGCCAGTCCGCCTTGGAAAAATTCCATCTTGTATAAGATGTAGAATCAGAGGAATAAATTTCTGATAGGATAGTTGGAAAGTGGTCACTTCCACAGAGATCATTGTGGACTGACCAATCAAATTCATTGAGGAGGTTAGAGTCTGCAAGAGACAAATCTAAAGAAGAGTAGGTGCCGGTTGCAGGATGCAGATAAGTGCTTGAATCGTCATTATATATACACAAGTCATTATTGGATATAAAATCTTCCAGTATTTTACCTTTAGTGTTAGTGCTTGTACCACCCCAGATCGGGTTATGGCCATTGAGATCACCCATTATAATACAAGGTTTAGGAAGTTGGTCATAGAGAGCTTGAAGTTCAGACTGCTGGAGTGTTGAAGAAGGCGGAATATATAAAGAGCACAGTGTAAAGGTAACGTGAAGAGTTAGTCTCACAGCAACAGCTTGGAGACTAGTTGTGAGTGTTACAGGACTATGGATAACGTCCTGCTTTACAAGGATTGAAGACCCCCCAGTGGCCCTGTCACCCGGAGGTGAAAAATAATTATATGCAACAAACTGACGTAAATTAAAAGTATCTGTCTGCTTCAGATAGGTTTCCTGCAGACAGAAAGCTGATGGTGCACAATCTTGGACTAATAGCTGTACCTCATTACAATTGGTCCTTAATCCTCTACAGTTCCACTGTACTATATTTTTGGAATGGACTATCTTTTAGGTGGGATGATTGGGCTTCTACCCCGCACTTGTTTAGTGGGCGACAAGCTATGTGCCCTTGCATGGGAGTGTTCGGACACTTCCATGTCCTCAAGCGAACCATATTTATTATAGAGTTGAACTTGGTTGTCTGATCCCTTTGAGACTCTGGCACTTTGAAGTTTTTTAGTTGAATCTGGCCTTGGTTTCGTTTTGTTTTTAACGACCTGTTGGACATTTGCAATTGATTGATATGGTGATTTCTCCTGTGGTATAGATGTTTCACGATTACCCTGAGACTCAGATTGGATTTGGGATGAAATTATAACTGTTGTTTGAGTGGATTGTTCTGGTGAAAACTTCTCGGGAGTAGTAGTTTTCACCCATGTCAAATCTGTTTGACAGGTTATTGACGTTGTTAGGACTTTGGACTGTTTTGGGGTTGTATCAGATAGCGTTCTGGTGATTGACGCGTATGTTTCGGTCTGTCCTGGGGTTTGTACGAGTTTTTTAGCTTCTGCAAAACTGATGTTTTTAGTGAATTTAATTTTATTAATCTCCATCTGCTGTTTCCACATCGGGCATTCCTTAGAGGAAGATGAGTGTGTTCCAAAGCAGTTGGCGCACTTTTTAAAGTTGCTGTCACAATCTTCCGTCACATGCGTCTTCTCACTGCAGTGAGCGCATGTAACAGACAATGTGCAGGTGTTCATACCGTGGCCGAACTTCTGACATTTGAAACATCTGAGAGGGTTGGGAATGTATGTGTCAACCCTGATATTGCAGTAACCTGCCTTTATTGATTGAGGAGCATTTGGAAACGAAAAAGAAAAGAGGTAGGTGTTTGTTTGATGCATTTCTGAGTTTTTACGGGTGGTAAACCGTTTTACAAAGGTGACACCTTGATCTTTCATTTCTGAGACTATATCCAGTTCTGTCATGTCAGCGAACAATCGATCCCGATCTCGTACAATACCTTTGCTGGTGTTAAGAGTACGGTGCGCAGAAACTGAAACGGGTATACCAACAAGTGATTCAAGGGAAAGGAGGTTGGATGCTTGCTGTCGTTTGCTACATTCGATTAACAAAGCACCTGAACGCAAGCGTTTAATGTTTTTCACGTCTCCTGCAATGCCATGAATGCCTTTAGAGACTGCAAACGGATTTAATTTCAGAGGCATTTTATCAATAGTCTCAATCACTATAAACCGTGGCCAGTAATCAATAGACTGTGAAGGTCGCTGTTCATCATCGTTGTCAAGTGGACGTTTAGGTTTTTTTTAGGGAGTTTCGTAAGCCATATTGAATGTATATTGTTTCATCATCCGAGCTCCCCACCCACCACGGAGTATCATAAAGACAGTGCTAATAACAAGTGGATCTCCAACTTGCAGCACCAGGGATACCCGGATGATATACTCCAGCAGAAAGATTAAACAAGTAATCAGTCTACAAGATTGGCCCATGAGCCACCGCCTTCTGGCACCAGCATCTAGGCAAATTTTATCAAATTTGAAAATTCATATTTCATACAATATATACACAAAACCAAACATGTCAATATTGTGTCCAAATAAATCCAAGCCAAATAATTTTAGAGCAACGAAATTTAGTGCTCAGGGCTCGGCATGACCAGCCGATTGGTTGAACCGGGCCCATTCAACCACCCGTCTAGGTGAAGTAAGGGGCGAAGTGGTGTGTTGGGCAAAGGAACACTGTTCCTGGAACCAGTGCCCTCAACCACCAGACTCCCGTCCTCCACCGACACAGGGGCGCAACCCACGGCAAACAGGTTGGTGGACCAAATATACCCCCGGGTCTACAACGTGGGGTTGAAGAGCTCTTGACGTCACCCAGCACCCACCACGAGGAGGTGGCTCTTCATGGGTGCTCTTCAAAACATGTGCCGTCCATTCTACCACAACCGCGTTAAAAGATGTAAAGAAAATATATACTGTTTTTGAAAATCAGAGGTATATAACGTGATTGGTTAATGTAAATCTCATGCATCATTCTATCCAGGGAAGGCGATAAACAATTTTCGATAACACCAGAAAGTATTTCGAGTTGAACAATTGCTTTGGTCTTCACGAGAAGCAACCCATTCGGCATTCACATAAGACAACAAATCTCGCTGATCAACTTTACTGAACGCATACACAACATCTATAGATAATCGATATTCTTTGACTCCACCAGTACGGACAAATTTAGTAAACGTTTTAGCAAAGTGATAAAAAAGCAAACTGATCTGTTTTATTCATGGTTCCTGGGAAGCGCAGATTCTCGCGACCTTCAGCAGTATTTCAGACAAGGACCACTTAACTCTCCACAAAAACTGAGATCGACAAATCAAACGACAAGGTCAATGGTGGTGTACTATTTTCTTTGTCAAACTATGAGGTCAGTCTGATGGGAATTTTCTCTATCAATTAATCAATTATTTTTTATCAATATTTCCAAATCTTTATTTGTAGATTAATACATTTGAACTGAACGGCTTCATGGCAGTTTAATGGATCAGGCGAGGGGATCAAACGCTTTTGGCACGCATCGATAGATCTCCATCTGAAAAATATAAGAAAGTAACGATGTCTCAAGAGCTAATTTTTCACAACATAAGCAACTATTATTGTGATAAATACATTTAGCATGAAACTTCTTTGTCACAGATGTAATATCGCAGGAAGCAGAAGTGATATATGTTCCCATGGTCCCTAGTGCCTCGGTCTAACTTTGGTTGTTGTTAATCTATATTCCAGTTTATATTGTATTGTTTTTTTATGTTTTATTGAATAGATAACAGTTTTAAATCTTTGCCTGGGATATTCTAGTTCTTTTACTGTCATTTGTTAACAGATGTTATGGTCGAATCATATATTAATTATGTATAACCTGTGTTAGTCACGATACGGTTGAAATACTGTGACTTAAAATATTAACTCACACACTCACTGATATATGTTTTCTATTACAATAGGTATTGTGGTTAACGCCTCCGTCTCCGGATTTAATTGTCCAGGGAAGCAAGGCACCTTGGCAGCGTGACACGTTAAAAATGGTTGAAGAGCTAGGGCTGGTAGGCTTGGAATCAGAGTTGGGCAAACGATACCTCAGTGGGACAGAACACACAATGTCGACATTAGCCAGGACAAGTACAAGGACTCTACCCTCCACTCGTTTCACCATGCACAATTTAAGTAACAGACACTAAATTTCAATAGTACCTGTTTGGACGTCAGTTGTTTGACAGCTGTGATAATAACTGTTTACGCCGTTTTATACATTCACAGTCGGATATTTAATGCGCGTATGGTTTTGGTCACATATAATTCAGACTCCTACTTTCATTTAGATATCTATTCCTTCAAAAGTGTATGTCTGCCTCTTCTTACCCCTCTTATTTTCCCTTTAAAACCGACACTACCACCACAGCCTGTGTTGCCAATAAGGAGCGGATGACTTCGCTTTTGTATCACTCCTGAAACAAATAGCATTTACTCATTCAGTTTTATAACAGACATATAATGTGTGTGCCAGCTGCACAATTATGTCATTTCGAATTGCATGCATATGTTGTGGTAATTCTAAGTCTACTAGATATAAATATTTGTAAATGCAAACCTTTCCATGGTATGGAACCGATGTTCCCATCAACATATCCTTTGAATTGTTCCCCATCGTAGACAGCAACAACTCTTTTGAAGAATGGTCCCCTCTACAGTGAGTCAGTAGAATATGTTATTTTTGTGAACATGACAGAAACAAACCTGACAATAAACGTTGGCAATTGATATTCAACCTTTCTTACTGACAGAACTTCCTTCTTTGTATAATAACAAGCATAGTCACTAAGGTGACATAATCCCCCGCCGCAAATTATCAAATCAAACTTATAAAGTAATGAAAGTTTAAGTTAAATGTCAACAAAAACATGACCAGTCAACCTCTCTTGATATCTTGCTCTTTAGGTGTTCAATTGCAAACACACACATATTTTCAAGACTGACTTTGACCTTGACATGAATGTCATAGTGTATGAAATATGCAAAAATAGTACTAAAGAAATTGCTTATTGAAAAACATTTAAGGGAAGTCTTGAAAGTCTGAAGAAAATCCAGTGAACCGTTCTTGAGATAACTTGCTGACAATTCAGGTTAACATGCTGAAATCTTCAAAGTGTCGCTGTGACCTTGAAAATTAAGTGAAGGTCACCAAAATGGACTGGGCCCTGCACCTACCCTAGATTCAGCTTGGTTTCAAATATGAAGACAATCCAGTGAACGGTTCTTGAGATAGCTTAACATGCAGGTTAACATGCTGAAGGTCACCACAATCGACTGGACCCTGCGCCTTCCCTAGATAAAGCTTTGTATTGAATATGAAGAAAATCCAGTGAACGGTTCTTGAGATAGCTTAACATGCAGGTTAACATGAAGGTCACCACAATCGGTGGTAAAACGTGAAAGTCCCCATGTGACCTTGAAATGAAGGTCAAGGTCACCAAACCTGACTTGGCCCTTTCTTATACTGTGATGAACCTAGGTACCAAATATGAACAGAATCTAGAGAACAGTTCTTAAGATATTCCAATCCGTACGTACGTACGTACGGAGCCTAATACTATATTAGTATAGCGCTAAACGCGCGGCGGGGGATAATTATGTCGTATCCCCTTGTTAAAACGAGTTTAAAAGAAAACGTTCGGAGTGAATGAATATTTTAGCAACCAGCTACATTATTCATCAATCAGTATACCATTATCAGTGTATCAGACGTGTACTAACCGGGTCATGGACCACTAACTTGTACCTATAGCTTCCGTAATCGAACAGCTTTAAAAAGCGACCATTCAGTGATCAAAGTGGTTTGCTTGGGCTAGTTCGAACTGTCCGATAGGTAGAGTTATGATGTTGATCATGTTCTGGCAGCAAACAAATAGCAAAAGCACCATGTTCGTCATGTTCCTTAGGTTGGTGGCCTACCTTCACTTTCTAATGATAAATATCTGTTTTCCTGTTATATCAAATAAGAATAATAACATTTGATGCTCTAAGCCTACTTCTAAAAAATACACATTACCATTAGGGAAGTGTCTAGCTGTAACAAGTGGTATAAAATGATTGAAAGAACAGGAAAAAGTACAAAGTATCATGCAACACATAAGGTAAAGTCATATGAAACTAATTAGTGAATTATCTTTTTTTAGGTTTTCATACTTCGTTTAATATTCTGCAGTTCATTTTATGGACTACCAGCTAGCCCGACTCGGCCCAACTTTTCTTGCTTCGAGTTGATGTAGATAAACATATTCTTGTAATGTATATTCATATTGTCGACAGGTATCAACAGGCATGGCAAGGTGTGAGGAACATTATCGGTTTTTCCAAGAAACAATCCCCCATCAACACAACAGACGACCAGGAACATGCTGAAGATGTTCACTGACAAGGTGTTGGACAGTCTCTGTAAATGCATTGCACAATCGACATTTCATGTTACTATGACCTTTAAAAATCACATTTTGGCGATTGCGAGTGAGAAGTGACTGGTCTTGGGCATCAAAAAGGATTACCTCAGTTTCGCATTAAACTGTTCCACACACAGTATGTACACGCGATGCTATGGTTTCTAAAGTATCATCCGACAAATCACTACGTGTAAAGGTACACATTAACATTCTCCACATTTATCAAACCCAACCCCCCGAATTGATTGGCATATCTAAACGATTAAGAGTGAGTGAATGAGCTAATCTTTTTGGTCACATCGACAATATTTCATCTATATCGTGAAACGATTAAGAGGGGACGAGGGTGGTGGGCTCTGTTATCAGACATGATCCTTCTGGCCAGGCGGTCAAGAATGTGTTCTTTGTCCAGTCAACTAGGAATAGGAAAGTACTGGCACAGCAAAATGATGGGTGGCTTTGATCTTGTTTCAAACATTTATCTCTGACCTCTAGATTTTCTTAAAGCGAGTTATACACTTGGTCCGAGGTTTTTCTTGAATTTGGGCATTGTGGAGCTTTGAAATACACAATGCCATTTTAGAAAGTGGTCAAATGTAACATATGTTATATTTGGGATTACACTTTCTAAGTAAAGTACAGATTCTAGTACTTGTATATGCATTATCCATTCCTAAATATTCACTTTCACTTATCTTATATCTATTTTTGAAGAATCAATAGCCAGGCTTATTTAATTAATACGAGCATGTCTTCAAGTTATATCAATTCATGTTTAGAATAGTTACTGTTGGCATATTATAGCTTATTTGACAGGCTGGATAACAAATGCCCCTTCCCTGCTAAGTGATTTTGTGTGTGTGTGTGTGTGTGTGTGTGTGTGTGTGTGTGTGTGTGTGTGTGTGTGTGTGTGTGTGTGTGTGTGTGTGTGTGTGTGTGTGTATTGGGGGTAATGAAGTGGACTGTATTGTGGGGGGGGGGGATAAAGTGGACTGATAGAATGATGCTTGTTTGCACATTCCCAACTCAATGGTTGAGTCATAACTATGATATAGGTGTAACATATGTTATATTTGGGATTACACTTTCTCATGATATAGGTGACTGCCGAGTCCAACAACAATTAGTTGTGGTCTAGTTTTCACTTCAAGTCTTTGAAGGGCATTTAGAAGTGGAATACATAGGAAAAGCAAGATTTTATGGATGTCAACTTATTTATTGTGAATAACACGACGTTTCGGAGTGTATGCTTGCTCCTTCATCAGGTGAATGGTAGGTAGTATAAGGGGGTATATATATACATACACACACACACACACATACATGGGGCACTTATTCTACACCCTATCTATTACTATGTTGTTTTAACGTATCACTGACCTCATGTTTTTATTACATATTCTTTCCTCAACATTGTTAAACTTGTTATACATGTTTTCTTTGTAGTTTTCACTTGAAAACATGTTTTGCCAAATGAATTGAAACTTGAGCCCCGTTCTGTGCTTTATTACATCAAGCCTTGTGTGGTGTTACTGTGATATAGATATAATATTAACAGCAACATCTGGCGCTTCCACTTACCAAAAATTCCACATTCGTCTGAAAATAGGTATTTTCGCCAACATCAATAGTGAACTTCACATATTTTCCTTCCAGTGCAATTTCGATGGAATGGCTTTTAGTTGAATTGTCGCAGTTGCTTAGAAGGACCTGTCTTTCAGTTGGTTTGGCTGTTTCTGCTTCTTCGAAATTGAATATGATTGTGAGACCTCGTGCGTAGTCCACGTTATTAAAAGATGTAATGGCAATATGGCTTCTGCCATTGAAGATGAGCTCCACATCATCATTTGTTACATTGACCACCTCCACAAAGACATCATGCCGCGTGATTGACCCAAGGCCCTTCGGTTTGCCATTTACAACAGTAATGTTGACGTGGGGGTAACATGTGGACACGGTGCCTAAAACATAAGAGTAATAGAGGTTATGTTGCAGTTGATAGTGTGGCAGTAATTTGTTTTATCTAACCGATGCAATCAATAATAACTGTTGGGATACACGTACACCTCTGAATAAAAGAAACAGGAAATGGTTATTCCCTACTAATGAATTTTTTTATATAATTGACATTAATTATTTCCTGTTCCCCCTGTTACAGTAAAAGGCAATAGAGCCAGGGGGCTCTAGGGGCTTTTGCAAGAAAACGTTAAGAACAGAAAAAGCACAAAATAACAACACAACACCCCACAACACATTCACTAACCAGTCACACTTACAAATTTCAAACAATTACAGTAAGTTTGTTTAAGTTCAAGTTTATTCAGCCTATTCAGTTCTTCATTAGAAACAAGAACAAAGAATTCAGAAAGTCTTTTAAAATTTGCAAAATCATGATATAACAACCTTTTTCATAACACTTATCTTGTTCACTTTTACTGAAGGATATATTCTTTTCCATAAAGTAGCTATCTTGTAAATAATGTCTAAAATGGTTAAAACTATAGTACTGTCGGAAATAGAAAAAAAACTGTTTTTAGGCTGTTATTCTGTATCCCTAAAATTGACATAATTACAAATAGCATATGTCGAAATAACCCACTTCGGCCTAACTGGGCGTTCAGTGGGATGCGTAATACGATATCCAGAAAAGCCTGTTTACTCGTAAAATCGGGCAAAACTTAGAAAAAATACGAATAGCTGCTGAAAACAATAGATCAGACTATAGATGGCAATTAGGTCGCTCAGCCAGGTATGACGACGGACCGTCGACTCACCTGGCATGAAATGCACGTGCCGCCTACAGGCACAAGGGGTCATCTCAAAGATATTTTGTGCTTTTTCATGTGTGTTGACTATGTCTCATCTACTGATTAACATCTACGTGTCTTTCTTTCATAAAGTATATGCTGAGATATGTAAGAGAGTATGATACCCGAAAACCATAGAAACGCATCGTAGTATGAAGGTGGCATGACCACCCGAAGATCGACAGGACTGGATATTATTTGTAAATTGTTATGACGTGCCGTGTACCTCCCCAGTATAATTGCCCTAAAGGATTATCTTATCTTAGCTGATATCTCTATCCCCAAGCCCGACCCCAAGTTTTGCTTTTGAGACGGCCCCTCCTATCTGTGTCTTTTTATAGTGACAGTGAGAATGCATGGTAGCTACATCCTTAATAGTTTCGGCATAAAAGTTATTATTTTTTACGCTAGCTATCGTTTATAATGAATCTACGTCTAATTTCAAATTGGGCATTTCAAAAGTGTCCTTTGTAATACAATATCGTCTCACACTAATTTGCATAAAGCCATGGTCTGTTCCAAATAAGACTGCACTAATTTCCCCTTTGTAAAGTTCCTTTTTCTCCGTTTCCTATCTCTCTACCACTGAGACTGTAGTTAGGCCGAACTTAGTTTAACAGATATTTCACACTTTCACATATCAACTACATAAATTGTAGGGATAAAGGAGAAAATACAGTTTTTTTCTATTTCCGACAGTACTATAAGAGTAGTTTTTAATACCTTACATTTATCTATGAAGAATTTAGCTAACAACAATATTAAATCAAACACCTCATCAGTATATACATTTGTTCTCATTCCAAACACAGTAAGTTGCAGGTCCAATTTCATGTTGTGAACATGTTGACATTTATCATTCAATAATTCTAGAAAACATTTCCACAAATCTTGCACATGTTCACAATACCAAAACAAGTGGGGGATTGTTTCAATCTCACATTTACAAAAGGTACATAAGTTGCTTTCAGTTAATTTGATCTTAAATAAAAATGAATTAGTTGAGAGAATACAATGTGTAATCCTGAACTTAAAGCATTGGATTTCGTATCCCTTGTAGTCTTTAAAGTTTAAAAATATTTTTCCAATTCAAGTTCAGCAAGCATACAATCCTCCCACTCATTCTTGAATAATTTATTATAATTTAACATCAGATGCAATTAAAACATAATAACACTTGGCTCCCCTCTCAACAGACATCAGTTTTCGATTAACTGTATCAAAAGAAGTGGGTTTCAGTATCTTGAACTTAGTTTGATAACTTTTAATTGCCATGATAAGACCATTATAATGGAGAAATTTTATGTCAAGTTCGAAAGTGTTCTGAAATTCCTCGAGAGTACGGTATGTTACGTCTAAATTGATATAATTACGAATCTGATTAACACCTCTCTCAAGCCAGAAGAAACAGAAAATTACCTCTTTACCAATTTTTAAGTGCTTGTTATAATAGATTGGTTCTGTGATGAATTCATCAAATGAACATGGTTGAATCTTATGTGCAAACGTGTCGAAAGCAGAAATACAATCAAGTCAAAGTTCATTCTTAATACCTTTGGAGAGTGTACCTGGATAAAAATTACCAAATACAGCTAGATTGTGCATTTTGGTGGAGGAATCATAGCACAAACACTTCTATTTGAATGAATGAATTTGGTACAACGTGCATCACACCGATAAGGATCTCACAACAATTTACTTGCACGAGAGGGAACAGCAGAGTAAATAATGTATTATAATTAACAGTCTGAGTTGGTTCACACATACCTCCAGGTTGTCTATCAATAAAGTGTTCACACTCTTGTCGGACGCACAACAAGTTCCCTTGCTTCGATATTGCTTGAGTGCTGAGATATGTTGTTTGAACATTGTAATACGTGTAAACACATACATATTAAGCCTCTCCCGGCAATATAGTATATGTGTCCGAACTTTTCATTCTTTTCAACATAACATGCACACAAATTACAAATGGTCGGCCCCCTTCTGAAAGAACTCTACGAATTCATGTTTTGTTTCAGTTGTACGCAGTTGGTTATTGAAGTACTGTTTCGGTCAAGCCTAGTTTGCCTAAGATGGGTTATATAGGATATTTGAATCGCCAAAATGCCTTTGAGAAGTCAATCTATCCAAATTTTTCTCAGAATTCAGAAAGTTATACCGTAGTTTTAATACCCAACTTTGTAGCCGTGAATTTAGAACTACTTGTCCAACGGGCTTAACGTCAATAAATAGCAATACGTTTTTCAAACGCATGACCACGTTTATTCTGCAAGTAAAATCTGCCAGCTCTAGCCTGGATAAGGGGTGAATCTTACCATCACCGTCTTAATTGTTATAATCATTGCTCTTGTGTTATATCACCTTTGAATTTGTAGAGCCATAGTGACACGTTTGTAGTGATTTGCACTGGCTTGTACCGATTGAACTGTCAACTTTAGATACATTTATTCAGTACATCACATTTCTTTGTTGTTTAGCACCAAGTTCTTTTTCGGACTGAATCCCATTTAAGTTTTTAGTTTCAACTTGGGAATCATCAGCTAACACGGTTGTTAATCTAGTAATGATTGACACAGCTGATCTAAAATCCCATTTGTCATGAAGTAAACTAATACTAACCAGGTCTGATTTCATAAACATGGACGTCCATGTAAGTCAGTGGACCAGATTAGTAAGAGCTGGGAACATAATATGAAATGAGGAAAGATTGATATTAGACGGTTTGTTTTATTCAAAGTATTTGAAATACGTTTACTATATTCAACTTCAAACGTATATCGGGATTACTCGTTCGTACTCTACGAATTCATTGTCGTAAGAGGCGACTAATGGGATCGGATTTTCAGGCTCGCTGACTTGGTTAACACATGTCATCGTATCCCAATTGCGTACGCACATACTGTTGATCAGTGGATTGTGGTGATTGCAATTAAATTCCAGCAGAGACAAATGGCACGTCCCTATGTACGAAACGCGTGTATGGTTGGGCAAAAAAGTTTTTATTCCATTTCATGATTAAAAAACACATAATAATGAATTTTATATTGTTATTATGTTATTTATTTACATGTTGAGTTTCCGACATTAGCCTATCCGGTATATAGAGAATACTACACGAGGTCTCATTACATACGAATTATACGAAACGAGTGTCCTTCCTTTGGTATCTGACCGAGCGAAAGCGAGGTCAGATAACATAGGAAGGTCACGAGTTTCGTATAATTCGTATGTAATGAGACCGAGTGTGGTATTTTATTTATTACCTACGTCTTACATGCATTAAATTGACAAAATAGCGTATTTTTGTTATTGTTATGGTTTCAAACCGAAACCGGTTTGATAAAGAGGTTGCGGAGAGTTTTGTACTGTACAATATTTGCATGACGTCACACTGTAATGACGTCACTGCCTTGGTAACCGAACTAGTGCAGCCTCCTACAGTAAACTACTCCGTAGCACCCGTTTCTTGGTTTGCAGTTGCTTCATTCGGCTAACATCACTGGTGGAACCATTGCGTTTATGTTTTTCGACGGATATGATGTCTCAGTTCGACTCACAATTAAACAGCGACACGGCAACGTTTGCAATGTTTACATTCCCACAATGCATTTAAGTTGTAGAATGAATGAATTCACGTGTTTGTTATGAATGAAAAAATAGTTACGTCAGAATGTGACCTAATTGAGAGGTCATCGGTTATCCAATCAAATCGTTAGAATCTCAGGTCAAGTCGTTACGACACAGGTCAACGCGATACGACACTCGTGTGACGTACGAGACTAGTATGCAACTACCCATACGTTGACCACGTGGGTAATAAAGGTTTATATTTGAGCTGAAGAGTACACTCAAAATATCTTACCAGAACCCTGCATAAATGATCTAGACAGAAGAACCTTTTGCATTCATGTTTTTTCAGAGGATACCAGTGTGTCTGAGATATAGAGGTATAAGCACCCCAGCCTACGTTGAGCGAAATCATTTGCAATGCATACGTCTACGTGGAAACTTGCTAGTATTGTTAGCTACTACAAAGATGTGGTGCTTACCAGGATCGACACGGTCCCACTGTACACACGTGCATGCCGGACTCTCTTCAAAGATTGTTCCATCGCCGCAGTGCATTAGGGTCTTTCCAGTACTGCCAATTTGATAGTATGTCAGAGGATTGAGGGAATTTGCCATCAATGTACATTCTGAAAATATTGAATTTAACAACAATATATCAGTGCGCAATGTAGTGTTTTGAAATCACACTCACTCGCGCGCGCGCACACACGCACGCACGCACACACACACACACACACATACATACATACATGCATATTGACAACTGAGCTTAATGTTTATCCCGACTTGCCAAGTCATATAGAACACAGGTTCACGTTTCTGTATATTCTGAAAACCCATATGTCCAGAAACTCAAAACATTTAAACTGCGTCGCCCATGGACAGGTGTTCAATAGTGAACATCCGTAATTGCTTATTCATTATGTTTATGCCTTGTTATCAACACGAACATATTGTCAAAGTTGTACCTAATCACTCTGAGTTAAAAAGACTTTCGGAGGTTCAAGGTTCATTACTTCTGATGCTAAACGTTTTGTGCATGTCGTAAACGCCACAACTTCTATATTTGTCCGAGTTTACTTTGAAAAGCAGAAAATATGGCGTGAGACGTGTTATAGCATCAGTGATGCATGCATCAATCCAGTGCATATGTAAGATGTTGAAGCTTCACTCAACATAATTCCTGTCACCATGGCACGCTGTCTTTCGACCAGCATCTCCTTATAACATCAATTATAACAAGGAATGCTGTTTGATCTATCCTTAATGATGCCAAGCTTGACTATTAGTGTGGGGCAGTGGATTGCACCTACAAACTTACAAAGTATATGTACTTGCACCTTGCATACATATTAGTACAAAAGCCAAAATGCACTTCTGATTTTTTTTAAATGCACCATTCCATCGTTTAACTTGTGCCGAGGACAGACATTGCGGTTTTGACAAATATCAAAGCAACATCTCAATACCCCTTTGACGTTGATATTGGATGTATTCTCGCCATACTGTGAACACTGCATTACAAAAATTTAAACACACGAGATGTACATATTTACCTGAGAATCATTTGAGGTAAATGCACAGCATCAACAGTTGTAACCATCTGTTCAAAAATTGTCGGCATGAATTTTAACCCCCTTTGTTATATGTATGAGAATCGTGTTTTAATGTCTGCGAACAAAATTTTATCCGACCCGTCTCATGATTTACATTCTTGTTTTAAACTTTTACCATCTGGACGTAGATTCCTCGTCCCTAATGTTCGCACAAAAACGTCCCAAACATCTTTTATACCTGTTAGCATTAGACTTTTAAATGAATGTTAGACCTAGCCACAATTTTAAATGCATTTGACTACTAGTCTCTTACAGTATACACTGGTTATCCTTCTCATCCTGTTTATTTGTGTGTTTAAGGTGATCGTTGTTCTTTGCTTAATTTGTTTTATCCACGCTGTATGCCTCACTGTTGTAAAAAGAATTCCTTTGTCAGGCAAATAAAGTATTATTATCATTATTAACCCCCAGCACCATCCATGAACTAACAAACTCAATAACAAGAACTCAGTGCATCATCAGTAAAATAACCTTTATTTTCTACAACACAACGTAAAAATGTAGGTTTCATGACCATTCAATACACAATTTCTTTTAAACAAATAAACGTTCAAATATAAGCATTTCTTCTGGCTGTTTAAGACTGAACCAAAAACTGAACAAACTGCAAACTTGGTGACCTTGTGGCATTTGTTTTATGTTGTGCTGTAATCTCAGATGGCCTTCTTACTGCCTCTGAAATCACATGTCTTTTTGCATCACTTGTCCGATTGAAGAGTGGAATTGTATCTCGTTAGCACACCTGATAGTTGGTCTGATACACCACAGCAGGGTAGAAAAGTGGCGTTTGAGGCGAATGCAAAAGAAATTTTGTCTTACAAAACCAGACTAACACTCATCTTCTTTCCACTCAGCTGAGAAAAGAAAGAAACACATCTTAAGCATTAGTTTACAAATAATGCATGGAAGGATGGCACGTAAGTAAAGTCACGCATCCTTCTCAACCAAAATGTCTCATAACAAAGAAATAACGTGTAAAACCTAGATTTGCTTATAATAATTGAAAATATAAAATCAAAGTGTACGTGAGAACTGCTAGGAAAAGACGATTTTCGGACGATATGCAGAGAAATAAATATCTTGGCGCTATTAATGAAACTCCACGAGTGCTTAAATTGTGTTTCTTTGGCATTAATCCCACACATTTTTAGCTGCAGGGTTCATTTTGTTATTATATATTATATGCCTATTACAAATCTATATTGACAGACGATCATTATTGATGAATCGGTCAACATTTAACATCCCCGTCATCAAATATTTGAATAATAAATACTCGAAGGCACTTGTTCCAGCCTAGAAGTGAGGAGGGGATCAGAAGACCCTCCTCCAACAATAAAGAGCACTGATCCGTTCCAAACTTAGTCACGGCTCCACCATTCATGGTGGGGTCTGTGCAAGCTATTCATCATCAAAGATTGGGGTTTTGCCTTGGAGCCTCCAGAACATCACCGGTTCATTGCTTATTTGTGGAGGCTGATGAACCGTCATGAAAACTACGTCGTCTTAAAGGATCTTTTCAGAATAGTTCTACTTTTACAATCTACTAAATCGAATTTTGACTCAACAAAAAGGAGCGTTAAAATTAACGGCCATAACCATCTATGGGGGAGTACTGATACAAATAATAAGGGAAAGGTCCTTGAAGATTTTCTCTCCAATAATGATCTATGCATCTTCAACGATGGATCAAACACTTATCTCCATCCTGCCACTGGAACATACTCTGCACTTGATCTATCACTTACGGATTCTAATCTCTTAAACGAGTTTGAATCGTCGGTCCACGATGACCTTTGTGGAAGTGACCACTTCCCAACTATTCTTACTCCTATCAATCCCGCGGATGAACCACCTTCAACAAGATGGAATTTTACTAAGGCCAATTGGCCATTATTCCAAACTCTCTGCTCTGAAAAACTTATACCGGACACCTTCAGGAATGTTCCTGATCCCATGGAACTATTTTCTGATATCTTAAATACTATTGGAGACGAAACCATTCCTAAGTCCTCTGCAAACCCGCACATGCGGAAATCATGGTTTGATACAAACTGCAAACAAGCTAGGAAAAATAAGAAGAAGGCGGAAAAATACTTCCGACAACATCCTACTGTGCATAACCTGAATGGCCGTTAAAATGACAAAAGCCAGGGCAAGACATACATTTAAATAAACTAAACGCCGGTCATGGAGGGAACATGTGTCCAAAATCAACTCCCGCACACCCATGTCCAAGGTGTGGAACATGATTCAAAAGATTAAGGGCAAAGGATCCAAATCTGGTGTTCGCCATCTCAACGATGGTGACTCTCTTTTAAAAAATAAATTTGAAATTGCAGATAAACTTGGCGAAACTTTGGCAAACCACTTCTCTTCCACAAAACTATAACCCCAAGTTCCAGAAATACCAAAACCCAACAAGAAAAGATATCAGTCAATTTTAACTCTGATAATGGTGAGGATTACAATGAAACGTTTTCTCTCCATGAATTACGCACTGCCCTGGGGCAGGCTCACGACACTGCGGCAGGAGCTGATGATATTCATTATCAGCTCCTCAAACACCTCCCTGATTCAAGTTTGGAAACTCTACTCAATATATTTGATGACATTTGGACAACCGGCAACTCTCCTCCTTCGTGGCACAATGCCATTATCATCCCTATACCAAAACCTGGCCGGGATCATACTGACCTCTGAAACTACCGTCCTATGTCAATAACTAGGTGTGCTTGTAAAACCATGGAGCGCATGGTCAACAATCGATTAATCTGGTACTTGGAGACCAATAACCTCCTTAGTGACCTCCAATGTGGTTTCCGAAAGTACCGAAGTACCATTGACCATCTTGTGCGTCTGGAATCTTTTATAAAAAATTCCATTGTCAACAAACAGCATACAGTATCTATCTTTTTCGATTTAGAAAAAACATACGATACAACGTGGAAACATGGTATCTTAAAAGATTAACATGAATTTGGATTGAGGGGCAGATTACCTCAGATAATATCTCAGTTTTTAAACAACAGACAATTTCAAGTACGGGTATGTTCCACACTGTCTGATTATTTCCACCAAGATCAGGGCGTCCCTCAAGGCAGGATCCTGTCTGTCACCCTTTTTAGCATCAAAATTAACAGCCTCACTAACGTCTTGAACAGTTGTGTTGATGGGTCCCTTTTCGTGGACGATTTCAATATTTCATGTCGTGGTAAGAACATGCACGCAATAGAAAGGCAGCTTCAACTCTGTCTTAACAAAATCCGAAAATGGGCCAATGAAAATGGCTTTAAGTTTTCAAAATCCAAAACAAATTTTATTCACTGTTGTCGTAAATACAAACCACACAAGGATCCAGACCTATCTTTAGATGGTACTCCCATCAAGGTAGTAGAAGAGGCCAAATTACTGGGACTCATATTCGACCGTCACCTGACATTCTTACCACACATAAAATATCTGAAAACCAAGTGCTTGAAGTCTCTGGACTTACTAAAAGTCGTTTCAAATACAGAGTGGGGAGGGGATCAGACTACTCTCCTTCACTTGTACAGATCTTTGGTTCGCTCTTAACTAGACTACGGCTTCATTGTTTATGGTGGAGCCTGCAAAAGCAATTTAGAAACATTAGATTCTATCCCCCACCAAGGCCTGAGGCTCTGCTTGGGAGCTTTTAGGACCTCTCCTGTAGACAGTCTATATGCAGAGGCTAACGAACCTTCACTTGAACAACGCCGAATTAAACTTTCACTGCAGTATATCACTAAATTATGTTCGACATAAGATTAACCCTTACAAATGTATATGGACCGAACTCTGATAGTCCTTCCTTTTATATATCTTTATTTGATAAGATTGTAAATATGGGTAACGATTCAATTGCAGTATGTGGAGATTGGAATCTTGTCTTAGACCCCTCCATAGACCTTGAAAACTATAAACACATTAATAACCCACAGGCTCGTAAGACTGTCTTGGACCAAATAGGCAATTTAAACTTAATCGAC